TTTTTCTCCAGCTCTGTCCGGGACCCTCTATTGTGATCCCTGTCAGAGCAGTCAGTGGTGGTAGCCGGGCACCATCTAGTTGTGCTGGACTCAGTCTGGTGTGCGCTGAGAAGTCTGGAGTGGAGCAAATCCTAATTGAGATTCAGGAAACTTTTTCAGAGTTGGAGTGTCCATCCTGTTACTTTCAGTTCTCTGTCTACCTTAAAGGTCCTGTGGCTAGAGGACCCAACTAGAGTCCCCCTCAACTGCTAACTGAAAGTTGGTGGTTTGAAACCACCCAGTGGCTTCACAGAAGAAAGACCTGGTGATCTGCTTCCATAAAGATTACAGCCAAGAAAACTCTATGGGGCAGTTCTGCTCTGTCATATGGGGTTGCTGTGTGTCAGAATTGATTCTTGGCACCTAACAACAACAGTAACAGTCCCGTAAAAGCCCCCAGAGAGTTCCAAAGCCTGACCTATGCACTTTATCTCTTAAAGGGGAAGAAGATACAGATGGTTGTTTGCATCATTATGGGCACACGTGATGATCTCTATGGGGCCATCAAGAAGCTGTGTTGTGTGCAGTCTCCAGTGCCCTCACAGGTGAGTAGAGTTGGGGCATGAGGCACAGATCAAAACTACCTTCCCTTGAGACTTGGAAAAGCGGGATCATGTTTTTAAATAAGACCAAAGTAATTATTAGAAGCCAATATGTGTGGACTCTTCTAGTTTAAAGTTTCTCTTATTAGAGTAAACTGTAAATGGCAGGTAGCTCTTCATAAATGCACACTTTATTTTCCCAAATGAGTAGTTTTACTTTTTCAGAAATTGAGCCTCCAGTTGGTTTCACATGACTGGGTTCTGAGAGTATAGGCTTCACTTTGAAAGGGGAACGCTGTTTTTCCTATGGAGGTTTTTAAAAAAAGGACACTCTGTGTAAGATCCTTTTGAAACTTTCTGTTTGTTGGTTGCTTTTTTTTTTCCTGTGTGTATGTGTGTGTTCGCATGTGTTTGCACCTAGAAACCCTAGAATTAGAACTATTACTGCAAAGGGTATTATCTGCTAACTCAAGTTTCTTAAATACTTAGTATAATACTTGCTTTAGAATTAGTGTTTACGTTTTCTAAGAGGTTGATAGAGTCCTGCTGTTGGTACTTTGATTATAGGTCATCAATGCCCGAACCATTGGTCAGCCCACCAGGCTTCGGAGTGTGGCCCAGAAAATTTTACTTCAAATTAATTGTAAACTGGGTGGTGAGCTCTGGGGAGTGGATATTCCCTTGGTGAGTGATGTTGAGATATGTCTCTATTCAGTTCAGCTATCCAGAAAATCCTACCTAGAGCTATTTTCCTAATCTAGTTATCCTTATTCTCAGTGTTCACTCATTAGTCTAAATGACCTGCTGCCTGTTTTTGTACAGTCTATCATCTAAGAATGTTTTTTTACGTATTTTAAATGGTTGAAAAAAATGTTTTAATGATGCGTGAAGATTATATGAAATTCAGTTTGCAGTGTCCTTAGATAAAATTTTTTGGAACACAGTTAAACTCGTTCACTTACATACTGTCTGTGGCTGCTTTCCCACTATAATGGCAGAATTGAGCAGTTCTGACAGAGTAGGCCCATAAAACCTAACGTATTTACACTTTGACCCTTTACAGAAAAAATTTGCCAAGCCCTGCTCTAGATCTCTGACTTTGTTCATAGTATTTAAAAAATGTAAAGGTGATTGCAGTATTTCTCTTTCTTTCCCAGAACTTTTTTCCTTATATATAAAGTAAGATGAAGGTTGTTTTGAGCCTCAGATAATAATTAAAAATAGAGGGCTGTAAAACTTGTATTTTGTTGTTTTGTTTTTCTAACCTAGAAACAATTAATGGTGATTGGGATGGATGTTTACCATGACCCTAGCAGAGGTGCACGCTCTGTGGTTGGCTTTGTTGCAAGCATCAATCTGTAAGTATTACTGATAGTTTTGTTTCATTTTGTTGCCTCATTTTGATACTTAATCTTACTATAGATCCAGCAAACATCTTTTTGAGTATTATGCACTATCGTATAAAGAGTTCTAAACTCCTTCCTCCTGTGTCTTCCTCTGATACTTGTTTATGCACCCTATTTAGCAAACTTGTCACATGTGGAAGTTTGTTCCCCTGCTAGAGGATAAGCTTCTGTAGGATAGGGGCTGTCTTGTTGACATTCCCCCGCCCACCCACACCCACACCCAGAGATAGGGTTTTCTTTGTTTGTTCTGACTGTAAAAGTAAGGCATGCTTCTTGCAGATATCTATAAAAATTTAGAATATGAAACTTAACTCCTGGTTCATCTTTTATTAACAACTGCCACCAAAGGTTTGATGTATATGTACTTTCAGGTTCTCATTAACACATATGTTGTTGTGTGCTGTGGAGTCGATTTTGACTCTTAGCGACCCTATAGGACAGAGTAGAACTGCCGTATAGGGTTTCCTAGGCTGTAATCTTCACAGGAACAGATCGTCAGGTCCTTTCTCCCATGGGGCTGCTTGTGGGTTCGAACTGCCAACCTTTCAGTTAGCAGCTGAGTGCTTAACCATTGCACCACCAAGGCCCCTTATTAACACATAAAAGTGGGGTATGTGTGTGTATCTATACATACATATATATGTATGTATATGATACATATTTGCATTTGTAAAAATGGGATATTACTAATATACTGTTCCTCATCTTCTTTTATGCACTTAAAAATACATATTTTCAACCTTTTCCCATATCAGTACAAATAAATCTCAACTAATTCTTGTTAATTGCTGCACAGAATTTATTGTATATCACTATTTAACTAGTTCTCTGTAGGTAGATATATAGGTTGTTAAATTTTTTTTCTATTAGAAGCATTTTTGTGGCAAATTTTCATAATTATACATATGTTTTTGATTCTGTTGTATGTCTTAAATGTATTTTTTGCCCACATTATCACATTTTGTTACATGTAACGAATGCATTCACTAGATATTTGTTACCAACAACAAATTCGTGGGTAAAGAAGCCTGTGTGAGCTGATATTCAGATAGATCTTCCTCTGTGTGCACTTGTTCATCTCTCTCTGTCTCTCTCTTCTCCCTCTCCCTTCCCCAGCACCCTCACAAAATGGTATTCCCGAGTGGTATTCCAGATGCCTCATCAGGAGATTGTGGATAGCCTGAAGCTGTGCCTAGTGGGCTCCTTAAAAAAGTTTTATGAGGTGAGGAGAACAGAAATTCTGTAATTTCACAGTTTACCTACCTGACCACCTTAACTTTAACAGGAAGTCTGATTTAACAGGAGGAATCCCAAATCAAAGGTGGGTCTCTTAAATAGACTTAAAAGTTAGTTATTGCTGAGCAGGCAGCTCAGAGTTACTCCTTTCAGGCTTCTACTTGTGTAGATCAACTCAAAGAGCTAAATGCTTTGATTTGGTTTGGTAAGTAGTAATTATTTCCCAGGTTGTCCGCCTGATGCCTGTGGACATAATCTTCATGCTCTTATCAAGGAAGTTGAGGGTAAATTTCAGTAGCTTATGAATTTACTCAACTTTTTACGACTGTTATTAGGAGCTGACTCTTTTTAATTTTGGTTCAAGACAAATGCCTCCTTGTAAATTAACCCTAGGACTCCAAAGAATGCTAGCCATGGAGAATTAGTACGTTGCTGTCATTAAGCTGATACCAGGTCTGGAACAATGACCAAGCAAAGTACTGATTTTTGCCTTGGCCGGTACATCAAAGGAAACCTTAATAAGTGGCTTGTGTTTCATAGGGTCTGGGTTATCCTCTACCTAGAGATTAAACAGCAAGAAATTTAATAATTTCGTATGATTAAAGTCAGTCTCTAGAAATCTGTCATGTTTCTTTTTAGAATAATGTTTCCTGAGGATGGCTTGATATTGCTCAGGTATTAGAGAGTATGTTTAAAAAAAATAAATTTTTGTCCATATAATATGCTACTTTGTCACCAAGTTCTACTAGACCTTCTTTTTTCTTGCTCCTATTCTTTTCCTTCAGAGTTCTATCTGTCATTTGGGACCTAGCTCAAAGATAACTTCCATGAAGCCTTTCCCATTTTTCCCTTTCCACTCCAGAATGGTTTCTTTATGCTCCACTCCCATGGCCCTTTGTTTATAGTTCTATGTAGTAGTTATCGTATTCTGCCTTATATTAGTTATTTGTATCTTTATGTCTTCCATTGGGTTGTAAGTTAGTTGAGTAATGTTTGGTTATTGACAGCTTTGTAACACATTTTCTTAAAACTTAATGGGTAAAGCAACCATTTGTGATGTTCATGGACAGGAATTTGGACAGGGCATAGTGGAGCTTCAGTTCCTTTCCATGTAGCCCTCTTCATATGGTCTTTTCATATGACTAGTTTGGGTTTTCTTCACAACACGGTGGCTAGGTTCAGAGGGTAAACATTTCAAGAGAATGAGAAAGCCAGATGGAAGTGCCTTTTATGCCACACCCTCAGAAGTCACACAGTATCACTTTCATTGCATTCTCTTTGTTGACATAACCACAACATCTTGCCCAGATTCACAAAATGCAAAAAATCCATTGCCATGGAGTTGATTCCGACTCATAGTGACCTTATGGGACAGAGTAGAACCTGCCCCATAGGGTTTCCAAGGCCGTTATCTTTATGGAAGCAGACTGCATATCTTTCTCCCATGGTGTGGCTGGTGAGCTTGAACCGCTGACCTTTCAGTTAGCAGCCAAGCATTTAACCACTGTGCCACCAGACCTCCTCCTGCCCAGATTCATGGGGAGGGGAATAGATCCGACCTTCTAATGAGGAAGTGGTGAGGTTCTGGAAAAACATGCAGGACTGGAGATAACACTGTGTCTCTTATTGGAAAACAGTCTGTCACAATCACAAGCACTGTCTTGACTACTTTTATATTCTCTATAGTGCCTTGTACTAGTTGACACTCTTCTTGTTGAATTACATTGAGTTTCTAGTGTTTAGCTCTGTTCTAAGTCAAATAACACCATTTTGGTTTTTGTTTTTTTACCTGAACTATGAACTTAAGTACTGTTTGTTAAGTCCTGTTGAACCAGGTCATAGACAAAATTGATCTATGTATTTCTAAATTTAGAATAAAACAAAAGTATCTAAATACTTTCTGAGTCAAAAGGTTTCATTTAACTCAAGGGCTTACTATTATTTTAGTCCTATGCAGCTTTTTCCATTTCTTCAGCTGTTCTGCATGTGACAGAAGGAATCTTCATGTTTAGACTATTTGATCATGTCTTTCCCCTTATCCTAATTCCCCAGTGGCCCCAAAACAAATTTAGTTCTTAGGTTTTAAGTTTCTGACTACCTCCAGATTCCCAAATTTTATCTACCCCTAAGAATGACAGTAGCTACCAGTCATTCCAATACCTACAAAAGATTATCTTCTTGCACATTTTCATCCCAGTTCAGATCAATATTTGGTATTCCAGGGCCCATCTTCTCCATTCTACATCTTTTGTTTGTCTTCTGGACTCATGTTCAATGATAAAACTTATGCTTATCATTTTTCTTGGATAGTTGGCTTCTACCTCTTTTTAGAAAATTTTGTTATGGAGAAAAATATATTAGAAAACATTTGCCATTTCAACCATTTTTACGTATACCATTCAATGACATTAATTATATTCACCATGTTGTGCAGCCATCACTGCTGTTTCCAAATTTTTTCATCACCCTTAAATGAAACTCACTACCCCTTAAATAATACCTCCCTATCCCCATCCCACCCCTGCCCTGGTAACTACTAAACAGCTTTGGTCTCTATACGTTTTCCTATTCTAGGTATTTCATTTAAGTGAGATCTTATGATATTAGTCCTTTTGTGATTGACCTTCTTCACTCAGCATAATGTGTTCAAGGTTTATCCATGTCGTAGCATATATCAGAACTTCATTTCTCTTTATGGTTGACTAATACTACATTGTATATATATACCACATTTTACTTATCCGCTCATCTGTTAATGGACATTTGGGTTGTTTTCACCTTTTGGCTGTTGTGAATAATGCTGCAGTGAACACTGGTGTACAAATATCTGTTTAAGTACCTGGTTTTTCTGGAATATACCTAGGAATGAATTACTGGGTCATATTGTAATTCTATATGTTAACTTTTTGAGGAATCACCAAACTGTTTTCCACTGGGGCTGTACCATTTTACCATCCCACCAGCAATAGATGAGAGTTGCAGTTTCTCCAAC